GATTCTGACCCCCCCCGTGGCCACTCCCCCCCCACCCCCCAGCCCAGCGGTCACAGTGCCCCCTCCTGATTGGAAGCAGGCTCTTTGGCCCCCCACCCCTGCCCCCTAAGGGGAGGGGTCAGCCGGCCGGCCCCCTTTGCACACCTGGGAGGCTGGTGGACGAGACGGGGGGGGGGGCTAGCCAAGGCCCCCTCCATGGGGAGGAATGGCCTGCCTCTCTTTCCTGCCCAGCGATGGGCATTGTAGTCCCTTAACTGACCCTCAAGCATCACCAGCCATGCCATGGGGTGGGTGGGGGTGGAGCCCCCTCTAGACCCCCCTCAGCATGGCCCATCCAGCTGGATGCTCTCTAGGTATCCCCTGTCCAAATCCTGCTTGGCGGTTCAAGGATCCGCTTCAAGCAGCCCCCGTCTAAGTCAGCCCCCTTTGGGGGGGTCAAGGCCTCTCCCCAGTGGAAGGTTGGGGGGGGGCTTTTGATGGCTTTTGGGGAGATGCAGGACTGAGCCCAAACCTTCCGGTCAGGCGATGGGGGGCCTTTATAGCCCCCCCACCCCGCACTGTCTCAGCCGGGGGGGGGGGCTTGACCCACCTGGGCAGCTTTAAGGCTGGGGGACCCCAACTCGCTTGGCTGGGGGATTCTGGGAGTTGAAGTCCTCCAGGTGGGACGTCCCTGGTCTAAGCAGCTGCCCAGAGGGAAGGGGGGGCTTAGGGAGGGGGGGTGACTGTGCTCCTTCCTGGCCATGAAACTCCGGGCTCCATGGTGCACTGCTGGAAGGAGAGGCTGAGCTGAGTGTTTGGAGTCCAGCGCTTCTCCCTTCCTTCCTTCCTTCCTTCCCTCCCTCTCTCAGCCTTCTTTCTTTCCTCTCTTCCTCCTTCTCCACCATCCCATCCCTTCCCTTTCCTTCCTTCCTTCCACCTTCTTTCCTTCCTTCCTTCCTTCCTTCCTTCCTTCCTTCCTTCCTTCCTTCCTTCCTTCCTTCCTCCTTTCCTTCCTTCCTTCCTTCCTTCCTTCCTTCCTTCCTTCCTCCTTTCCTTCCTTCCTTCCTTCCTTCTTTCCTTCCTTCCTCCTTTCCTTCCTTCCTTCCTCCTTTCCTTCCTTCCTTCCTTCTTTCCTTCCTTCCTCCTTTCCTTCCTTC